TATATATATATATATATATATATATATATATATATATGGGTTTCTCGTGATAATGGAGCTGTGCTCAAAAAAAGCACTTTGAACTCCTCACATTCCCTTTTTTTATCGAGAGACGCAGAGACAGTTCATCAATGGATGATGGTCAAGGTGACAGACTGACAGTGACCCTTGTCATTCAAGGAAAAGCCACAAGTCCTCGAGATGCTCTGAGAAATCAAACATCACAAAAAAGCAACGATTTTGCCAGCGGCAAGATCGAGCCCTAAAAAATTCCCACTACACTGCGTCAGGACCACGTGTGTGCTACGTCACTAGTGTTATATTAGGAAGGAACAAAAATTTTTTGGTTGTCTTGGACCATTTCATCGCAGAGCTTCTTTCGGAATCATAAATTAAACTTAAAATTGTCTTTTTTTTATTTGCTCACCCAACACGACCCTCGCCAAGGTTTTTCAAATTCAAATTGAACTTTACAGGTGAAATACGACAATCACCGGACAACAGACAGGAAACTGACCAGGTGATGCAACACTGGTCACAGTGGTCGGAAAAGTCGATGCTTGTTGTTCTGATTGTCCGCTTTCTTTTCTAGAAAAACTGGCCATAACTATATGAGCTATCGTTGTTGACATCCATGTTGCTGTTGTAACCGGAAATTCTACTAGTCTTTCGAACTAGCAACCACCGCTTGTTCAACGTATGTGCGAAAAACTGACATAAGAGTAAGATGCATCAAACCAATAAATTGTAGCAAATTTTATAGCATAGTAACTGACATGAATAGGAGAAGAAAGATCATGAATAATGTGGAGAAAAAAATAAGGCAGTTACTGGCAATGTGAAGAAAAGCACCCGACACACGCACACATATATATATAAATTTCTAAAGAAAAGTAAGTCAGGCGGCACAGTGCCCCCTCATTTTTGAGATCGAAAATTTCCACTTATCTTGATAAACAATTTTTTACAACTTAGAAAAAAATTAATTTCAGACTCAAAAATTTTTTGCATCCGTGTATTAAGAGCTCGAGAACCTATAAATTCTCAGCGCTTATTCAGCGGAAAGCATCCCTGTTTGATGAGCAAGCGTATCATGTACCAATAATTTCCTGAGTTTCAATTTTTGACAGAAAATTCCAGGATTTAAATTATGGATAAAACAAGGGCCAAACAAATACGGCAGAACATGCTGAGTGAGAACTGCACCGACGACTAACTCTTCTCTGCTTGCGAATACTACTTACACAATTAGTGAGTAACATTAATATATTGTTACTGAACTACGTTGCTGCAATACATAAATACTTTGAAAGAAGACATGATTAAGGCACTTACAAACAGTAATATGCAAGTGGCAGTAGCAGAAGTGATGTAATTTCGATAAAAAAACAATCAAAAACAGGTGTTAAAAGTAATGATCTCGCCAGTGGACGGAGCCACATTTTTTGCAACATAATGTGGAAAGGCAGGGAATCTAACCACTCATTCTTCACATCCGCACATGACGTGCTGGAGCATTGCATAGCTGGTTCCAACTCCTCAGTCCAGCGCATCTACTGTGTATCTGCCTCAAAAACAGCACACGTTTTTCTTTTTTTACCTGCCACCTCTAAGAAATATACAAATGAGTGATGGCTTTTCTTTTGCCGCCTTTAGCGGAATTCCGTGAAAATTTCGAAACCGCCTATGAAAGAGAAGAGGGCATCCAGAATATCGAAGTACATTCAAAACAAAACAAGCAAGTCATAAGCAGTACAGATACAATTTCTCTACTTAAAATAATTTCAATTTGCTAAACAATTTTTTCACCTAAATCACTCAAAGAAAGCAGTACATGAAGTAGGAAACACAATAAATCCATAACAAATGCCAAGATTTTACTACAAAAGTCAGAAACACGATAACATACGACAAATTTCTCCACAGCGAGATGGAACATGCAATTTTTTTGCCTCTCAACTGACAAATTCTAATGTTCCGGTGAGACTTTCAGACAAAATACCTCCTCTTCGAAAGACGGAGAGACAAAACAACCGTGACTCGCCCACATGTTACTGGACTCTGCAAAAGGCGAGACAAAACTAGTTCATAAAAATTCAATCTGGATCAGTTGCAATTACTTGTTATAAAACGATCAGATGTGAAAGAAGCACAACAGAAAGACCAGATGGATGTAGAACTATGAACAGAACAATACGGTTCAAAAAACAACTTTCATCTAAGCGATTTTTCTCGGATGGGGACGTGATCTATTACTAGTCAGAGAGAATATGGTCTGAAAAACAATTCAAGCGAGAAAACAGGGCTAACTTGTCAGAGTTGACCAATACATCAGATCAGAACCCGATTTGCTTAGGCGCAGTATTATTTATTAGAGAAAATTACCGGACAGAAAATGAGTCTAACTTGTCAGACTTAATTTGAACAAATCAACTGAGGTCGGAATTCTGATTTATCGAAGAAATAACATAATTATTCTTGAGTCAGCTGGGATTTTACAGCCTTCCGATAATACCACTGGATAAACAGATAAGTGATGTAAAGGAATAGCTCATCCACCAGAAAGCCTTCAGTAGTAGCTCGTTTCATTGGACCTGGTTGTTGTGGAGAATTCATTTCGTCTTCGTTCGGTCCCACCACGCCCATATTCGCCAGGCACAAAATCATGACGAGTTGATAGCTACAATATCAATCGAATTAAACACAAAAATTCTCTTCGTATTCGCTTTCTGTGGGAAGCGTTGGCACTTGGAAAGTAGCCTGAATGGTAACAAATGCCAGAAGTAACCACTCACTGGTGAGGACGTCGATGTCCCTCTCATTTGAAGGTTGCTCTAAGCAAGCTGATGGCGGGCTGTACTCCTTAACATATGACAGTAACAATTTACCATCGAAATGAATGAACGTGCCTAACTGGCGAAGTCCTAATGTTGTTATAACAGGGCAAATCAAAATCATGATCTGTATTGTAAAAAGCTCAGTTGCAGCATTATCATGAAATTTGGTTGTTCTAGACTGCTTCATTCTGTACAGTTTTTTTACTCCTTCCCCCAAATCATTGTTCAATTTTCTGAAAAGAGACTGCATGATGTACCAAACAGTTGCTGGCTTCACTTTAATTATATCGCATCTCCAAGATCTACTTAGAAACTTTACCTTCAACGACTTCTCGTTTTCAGCTTGTCATTTATCAAATGATTCTGGATTATATTTTATGTTTTTGACGTCTTTATTGCCCCGTTTTCAGATTTTATACATCTAAAAGGGATATAAACTAGTGGAGAAAACAAGAGAAGAAAGACGAAAATGAAGCGGAAAAGTTTAATTTCACATTTTCAGCGAAATTTCACTTGCCTTGCTCTCTGATCTAGAGATAGGAAAGACTTAAGGGTAATAAGAAAAGCGCCGAAGAAAGCAAAGACCGTAACCTTAGTGGTTCTGTCATAGACACCTTCAGCAACCTCTTCCTCCTCTTGCCCATAACCACCTTCTTGCTCACCATAATCGCCACCTCCCTGAAAGACGCCTTTCTAGTTAACGATCCATTCATAAAGCAGTCAAAAATGCATTTTGGGACTGGTCAGAGGGTTGATATTAGCAAATAGTAAGGGGTTCTGTAAATATTACGAGTTGAAACCTGTAGTACATACGAAAAAACAATAATTTAGCTGGGAAATTAAGAAGTTGTCTTATAAACGAAAGATGAATATGGCGATGGCTATATGCGCGAATTTTTCGCGGGCAAATTTGCTCTCCACAGAGATACCCTTTAAATTACCATTTGACCAGTGGTACGCGTAGCTGTATACTCTCGAGTGCCACGTTCTCGAACAGCTCCTCCTCCTCCTGCTCCTGCCCGTGATTCGCTCCTGCTGTACTGTTGCTCTGCTGCTGATGCCGATGCTGCTGCTGCTGCTGCTGCTGAATCCGCATGCTCAAAACGTTCGGATCTCGTTGCTGCTGCGTACTGTTCAGCTTCTGCTTCGATTGGCGCTCGTGAAAACTTAATGAACAAATTTGCATCAGTCGGTAAGTTAAATATCTATAACAGCTGTAATCCTTGCGATTCCAGCATTTGAAATTAGTGGATGTCCAGCGGAAAACTTTAGTTCAGAGCCTTACGCATAAAATTTGGACTCTACATATAGCTGCGTATTTTCCATAATCCACCACCAAATATTTACATCTACATTTTCACATGTAAAAAACATATATATTGTACATATATTAATCGATAGATTGCTAGCAAGATATGTAAAATAAATAAGTTATGGGCAAGATATGGAGAGATTTTACTGGAATCACATAGATACATATTCATATATATCGTAGGATGCAAAATATATATATATATATATATATACATAAATAGACATAAATAGATAAATATATATATATGTATATACATAAATAGATAAATAATGTGCTCATCCTCCCCTCGCATCCTCAAAATTCAAAAAATTTCACAGCTTTACAACTATCTCCGAAAACTATCCACGAATTCATTACTACACATGTTCAGAAATTTATCTGGCACATTCTCATAATTGGCTGTTTCTTTTGACGAAATACTATGTACCTGGGTGCGAGTACCATCATCTCCACTGCTTGCTGTCGCCGTAACTTCATAAATCGCTCTACCAGTTTCCGGATCATGATATGTGGTTGTTTTAATTTCATGAGTTGTAATGTCGGTGATGACTCGCCGCTCGATTTCCACTGATGAGCCAGTTGATTCCCCCGAAATTGAAGCCCCTTCTTCCAGATAGCGTTGCAGCTGACCAGCGTCCACTTCTGCAGGCTGGCGTGCTGCAGTCAGCTCATCCACCTTAAAAAACACTTGTTGCATAAATGAATGTCATTCCAGAAAAAACAATAAAATTCCAAGTTTTCGATTCGAGTAACTGGTTATTGTTGGTTTAAAAACTGGTATACATGTCGCCACCTTGTTTTTCACGTTTATGAAATAAAGGCAAATAAGCACCTGCCTGCAGATTATACCAAATTTCAGCTTAAAATCAGCTTCAAGTTTAAGTTTATCCTAACTGCCTCGGGCTACTTTGTTTACGTAAACTAAATAAGACGTTTGAAAAATTGAAATGACGCATGGTGGATGTCAACAAATCCCAGAAAATCTCAGCTGAAGCGGGAAGGTTCCAATCTGGCGCAAGCGGTGCGATTCCGTTCCGACGTGGTACATGCCACGAAAGCGAACTGGGCTAGTCATGTGGCAAGAATGGAAGAAAGCAGATGGATAAAGTGGATTACTGAATAGGCACTTATAGGATATCAAAACCTTACTAAGATGCCCGTCATTGTTGTAGAAAAACCCCCTTGAACAACCAAATGGAATTGGGTGGTGGGTGAGAGAAACCCAGGAATGAAGAATTTGTGCGACGCGATTATACCGAGGATAGTTGCATCTCAACAAACCATCAAATCTTGTTTTTTGTGCATCAGTTACATGGTAAGTATTGCATGTTTTGTGATGTTAATTTGTCTGTCTCAGCTAGATCACTAGTAGTGATGGTCACTCGGGTAGTATGCGCTACCGCATTCGGTTCTGTGTTATATGTTATCCCTGATACTTTCTGGGTCTCCAAACATGCAGTTCAGTCTGCTGCTCGTACTCAAAAAAGGCCCCGTAAACTGATTATGCTGTAAATGGGAATTGCATTCCCATTTCTTTTAAAACTATTATCCTACAGTTATCAAAAATGTTATT